TATATATTACACAATGTCCAATGTCCAATACATTTTGGTCCAATGGATTGGACTGGACTGGACAAGGGTTGTCCAATGTCCATGTCCAATGTCCAGCCCAACCTTGATTATATCTATGATAGTTAAAATAGTCCACTTTTGTTTCTTTTGTATTATAATGCTTAGAATAATATTCCTGTTAAAGAATAATTTCAATAACGACAACCAATATTCAAATATGATCGATCATCTTTACTATATGTGATCATATCATGTAAACGAGAAGAACCTGAAACTCGTGCTTCACATGGAATAAGTACAATACATACAAGTACATATGAATATACCTAGAGATAGGTAAATTGTTAATTCATGCCATCGCCGGTATTATGTAAACTGGCTTGAATATAAAAACTATATTAAAAACCTTGTGTTGGCTCTCAATCCACACAGGTTGCACAGTATCTTTTTGCACAGCCTGCGCACAAATTAGTGTACTGAACCAAAATGCTAAAAACATAAGCTATACTACCAATTTGTAATTGGAATATTGTTTATTTCGTCTATTTGCATACTGTCAAACAAACTTATTTTATCATATTACAGAAATCGTTAATTCAATGTTATTGGTACAATACTTAGTACTTACAATATATAATGGCCGTATCCATTTTATTTCATTAACTTGGTGAGTGTAATTATTATTAACACATCAACTTAATTAACTTAGTGAGTGTATACGTACTCCGTACTCCCTGTAAAAAATTTTATCCGAATATTTCCATAATTTTCCATATTTTTTGTGAAATCTGCAACATGATCGACAAAATCTAGACAATCCGAATAATCTCCATGATTTACGGTTATAAACACTACGAATATGCAACATTTATGGAAAAACATGGAATATAAAACACGGATCGACTTTTTTTATAAGGACTCAATATAGATTAAGGCTGTTCTTAAGCTCTCTTTAGGTAAATTGTTATGATTGAGTTATTTTGATTAATTGAAATCAATTGAAATGATTTTATAACAAATTTTGCCAAAAATTCACTATATTAAATGCGAGTTATAAATTCAGCTACCGTAAACCGCACCATGGGTGTTATTTCGAGGTTCGCATAATAATGCTTAATTTAGGCCGAAATTTGTAATTTCACCCTGCATGCTATTTCGTGGTAATACTATTTAAACTCAAAGAGTACTCAATTCATATGATCGAATTAATTCATAAATTTACGTTCCTTGTTTCGTGCGACAATCGTACAGCTACCTATTTTTAACATATGAAACATAAACTCGTGAACTCTAATGTCTTCCATAATTTATAGAATGATTTAATTTGATAAAAGAATAAATCGCGATTTAAACTGAAAATAGCTGAGCCTGGCAACTCTATTTTATCCGATTTACCGGTGAATTACAAGGTCATTCAAAGTTAATAGTTAGTTAATGTCAATTCCATTTCAGCTAAGGCATTAAACAGCACAATTTTAAGTAATCATGTGAATAAATTGGCAAACAAGATTTAATCAACTATTCTGGGAGTGTATACATGTATAATTTTTTTCTTCACGCCTAAACACAAAAATATATACATATATTGATTGACGTTGAAAGTAACCAACATTTAGGGTTTATTTGGGTCGAAAAAGTTTTTTTTTTAGATTAGGTGAGTTGATTTTAGCGAATGAATTAGAGAATGTAAATTTTATGTGTTTATTGTACACTGCATATAACCTTGTACTTAATAAGAGACTTTTATGATAATAAGACTTTATTATATATACAAAGTGGGAGTTATCTTTCCCAAACGGCAAAAAAGGGCCTCTATTTATAATAAAATATTCTCTATGACTTAAAGTTCTATATAAACTATACTGTATTACCGGAACCCTTCTTATTGTTCAAATCATCCATTCAGATTGAATTCACCCTTTTAATTACAAGAGCTTTTCTGACTTCTGGTGCAGAAAGAACCTCTTCTACCCGGAAGCTCCAGATTTGGCACAGTCGGAGTCACGTGGCATGTGATCGGTCATAACGTTAATCAACCAATCAACTTAGCTAATCGCAACAGCAAATTTTCTTGATATATTAGTCAAGATGGATGGATCAGACCATTTCCAGAACATAGGTGTGATAGTTTTATCAAAAAAAAAAGCACGTACATACGTACGTACTGTACATATTAATATAGTAATAATTAATTTAATTAGTAGATAACCTGCTTAATAGAGGATGATATATAAATGTGACCTTTTGGATTAAATCTATCTCAAGGTAGTGTGAAGCCCATAAAAATGAAAAAATTCAGATGCTCTTTAATAAGTCATATCTTTTTCACTCTAAATTGATTGCCAAAGATAGTAAGGTATAATAGATATATTTTAAAATTTTAAAGCCATGCACAGGTACAAGTTCTATCAAAATTAACGACCGAGAAAGTTTATATAAGGATCATTTTCATCTCGCGTAATATTCCTTAATGTCAATCCAAAGACATTAAATCAGCATATTAATTCGACGGTCTTTAAGTTTATTTGCCATAATGCTGTAATGTTTAAAATGCTATCTGAAAAAATATACGTACAGTACATGATGAAAACGATCAATTTGAGTATGTCATCCAATAGCATGCAAGATTTTTACACAGTTATTGGCTGTAAACTATGTACTACATTCCTGGTACGTACGTACGTACTTACGTATATTATTACTGATTAAAACCAGTTGCAAACTTCAGATGGAGCTTATCGTAAAAAAAAAAAAAACTTTAGTAGTAAAAAAATTTGATCGGCAAACACGTGACTAGCGAAATTTGGGTGGTTTCAGTAACTGAAATCATAGCCCCCTAAAATTATAGGGATGCAATATTTCCGTGTCCAACTGCACGATGATTTCATTCGGAAAATTGTACCACATTGCACATAGCTATAAATACGCTTTATTTTTATTATCACATTTTTACGATGGCCGGATATAAAAGAAATCAAGATTCATTTCAAGCATCCAACTCAAATGATAATGAAAATAACTCAATAGCTACTAGCAGTAGTGAAGCTCAACCAACAAAACTCCAACACTCAGAAAATAATGATAAGGAAAGCATTTGTTGGAAATATTTTGAACCATTCAAGGTCCCAAAAGAGAATAGAACAATAACAAAATGTACGATTCCTGGATGCACAACAAGATACATGTGGTGCGGCTCTACTTCTAATCTTGTTGGCCATCTTAAGACTAAGCATGGTATAACCAAATCCTCAACACCTTTACCATCTACAACGTCAACCATTAACTCTATTAATTCTGAACCAGAAATTAATTTACCATTAATTAAATTTATTGTTTCCTCCGGAGCGCATTTTAGTGTCGTTGATAATTTAAAATCTGCTGGATTTATTAGTCCGGAAATTGAACTATCTACTGCTAATATTTTAGATGAGCAAATAGATAAAGTATATAATCGTTTATTCCTTCAGTTAAAGTTAAAAGTTCAGCAAGAGAAATCAACCGTGCTCTCGATTCATACAACAACATATACTATGTTTAATAAGCAATATATAGTAATCACTTGTAATTGGCTAACTAAAGATTTTGAACTTCATAAAATCTTATTGCTCGCAAAAGAAAGTCCTGAATATAATGATAATTCTTTTAGGGATATTATTGAAGCTTTAGAAAAGTGGGAATTGACTAATTTAAAATTTTATAGTTGTTATGATGACTATTGTTTAAAATCTTTATATGAATTACAAGAAGAAAACTATCAAAATCTTGTACAATTACATAAGAATACAAACAATTATTCAATTAATTTAAAATATTTAATAAAAAAAAGTTTAGGGAAATGGGCCAGAGAAAACGTTAATATTCAAGGAATGTCAGAATGCTATTGAAAATATTTATGAGATAGTATCTTTTTTAAGGTGGAAAATTACCATAATACAACAGGAAATACAAAATATGCAAATAACATTTGATTATTCGACAATTATTGACATCCAAAATGCAAATAAAATTGGATGTCATTGCACTTATCACGAAATAGCTTCTCTCAAGTTAATGGAAAACCCTTTTATACTGCTAGTTAATAATCATAATATTTTTAAAAATACCTATTGCAGAAAAAAAGGAAAACGTTTTAAGGATCTTATGCTAGATTTTTTGCCATTTGGTATATTTTCTAAATTACTGCAATTATTTAAACCTTTAGAGCACATTACATGCAATAAACATAACATATCTACGGAAGAGTATATGGATTTGGTAGAGAAAATTGGGATTAATGCAGATAATATGTTAAGAGAACTCCAATTTAGCGACGATTTGGAACACGAAGTTCTTAAATCGTTTTTAAGAACAATTCCTTTATATTTTGAATGCAATGATTTATTTGCTGAACAATTAGCTTTATTTTTAGATCCAAGTTCTAAGCCAGGTGAAGTTTCAAACGTAAGTTTTATTCATATTATCAGTGTTTATAGTATAAAATAATAGCTAAAAATTTAAAATACTTATCTAACATGCTAGGCGGCTATAAACTGTGCGCGAAAAAAATGCCAAGCCTATTATTTTGAAAATATTTTTTCTGGCAAATTGAATAAATCACTACAAGAGGCAAATAAAGAATTGGAATGCTATATTAATCGTCCCCAATCAACTTTAGATGATGATATTAATCCATATGAATGGTGGCAAGGTTCAAAGCAAATACTTCCTGGATTAGCTGCTCTTGCTAGAGAATATTTGCCTACACTAACGGTGGATAAAGAAGATCCAGTAAAAAATTTGGATAAATTTATAAAAATTTATAATAACGATGATGATGAAGATATGGCAGAAAAAATAGCATTTTTACAATATAATATGAAATATATTGATCTATATTTATGAATGTAATTTTATCATTTTTCATATCCATAAATCTCTGTACTTTAAATAGAATAAGCATAGGTTTAAAATGTGTACGACTTTTAATTTAGAGTGAAAAATAAAGCAGATACATTTAAATAATTGCACTAGTCTATTCAATGTTTATGTTTAATTTTATTTTTGAAAGTGTTTTTACCATACGTTTACTTTTGATTAGTGTGGGATTTTTGCAATGAAATCTAGTTTACATTATAGTTTTCGTAAGTATTGTATATTAGTACATCAGTACCTTTGCAATTATATATTTTCTGAAACATAATTTTGAATCTATTTTGCCTGTATACGTCGTTTCTTACTCAGATTAAACTTGAAAGTAACTTATAACTTAACTTTCTAAAATTTATATTATCATTATTACTATAAATTCTAGTGAGCGCACTAAAAAGCTGTGCAATGTCAATTTAACTTCAATATTGAACATGATATAGGACTTATATGAGATAAACTATGAAATTTAACTATGAAGGTTATAATATTAAATAGGTTTGAAAATGAAAAAGGTAGCAGGCAATTATATAGATAGGGAAATGGCTTTCACGCCACAAGTTATGAATTTATACATCTTTATTTGGAGATTCTGGTGATTATAAACTGGGAATTTGTACAGATCTAAGTCGATTCAGATAAATTAACAATTGATTTTGGATGAGCTAGTTAAAAATGTAAACAACATACGTACAAACACTTTTGTAAATGGATGGATAGAATATAGATTCGTTTACGTCGAAATATAATCTTATTGTTCTTTTATAACTTCCGTTTAAAACACTATCATTGCATAATTATAAACGTAGTAATATTAATTAACTTGCCAAAATGATAAGATTATTAATAGTTTTTATACAACTTTGTAAATTTATTTAAATAACAACAACAGTTCAGAACATAATGGCAACTTTATCAGAATCCTTGATAATTCATCTAATAAAAAATATAATGCCTTTTAAATTTTTACAAATTATTTTAAGCTTACGTTCATAAAGGTTGGTTTAAGATTAGTAAATTATACTATTAAATGAAGCCATCAAAAACTTGTTCAATTGGATCAAGTAAAGTATCTTTAAAAGAATATAGTCATATCTCTATAATTATTTTAACTGGATCATGACGTAAATTCGCAGTAATTGGCTTTAAAAAAGTGCCTACATGGTAATTTTCATGAATATGGAAAGATCCAACCGTACAATAAGTTTTTTTTGGAAATTTCCTCATTAATTAAAGAGCAGCATATTTTTATCATTGTCCGGTGAGCCTATTAAAGCTATTGTTGATTAAGGTCTTAACAATTTCATGAAATCTATTAGAGGCAATGCACTGTGAGATGTCCGTGTTTTGTATGAATTATGTACGTATATAAGATATAAAAGATTGGAACTATCTAGTTCAGAATGTCCGTTTTCTATATTTTGCGGCATTTAAGGCGTAAATTGTTCATATGCTTGTATAAAATAGGCTGCACAGATTTTAATAAATATATCTGTTTGTGGTCAATTATTTCGGTCCTCGTCATATTTCTGACCGGAATTATATCAAAGTCGCATGCAGGCTGTGCATTGACACATGCATTTATTTGCGAGGGACAACTAAAATAGTTTATTCTTGACAATGGAAAAAAAAACGAAATACAAGAAAATGGGTGTTTAAATCTTTGATATTCATTAAAAAATGAACATTTATGCATAAATTATTTTTACTATAATCTCTAACCCTAACTTAACGCCCTCAAAATCTTTAATTTTCCCTTTATTTTATAAACTTAAAACTCGCAGAAGTATAGAACAGTGTCTGCTCTGACGAAGTTATTATGAGCATTTAACATGTGTAATTTTCTATTTTTTACAGCAACGTCTTTGATTAATTTTTAGACTATTGTAATCTAGCATGAAATTTTTGCTGCATCTGGAATCTACAAAATTTTTATAACTTGAGCTTAAAACTAACCGTCAATAATGTAAAAATGCAGTATCAATATTATAGTTAAATCCACTATCTATTTGAAAATATAAAATTTGATTTTTAAATTACGTTTATTAACGAATGTAATCTAGAAATCAAAACTTGACTTAGGTTGTTCTCAAGTATCTAAATCAATTGATCAGATAATAATCGTGATGACGCTCAAGCATCACAATCGATGACGATATTTATAAAATTAAATGCTTAAGCATACTTTTCCTGGTTTACTTAATGTTCGCTATACTACTTAAATACCTAATGAAAAAAATCTCTTTTCGATCAACCGTCAAAGGTTCAATTTTAGTTATGTCGGCTCCTCCTTTTAATGATTTTAACAATTTTAATTTTTTTTACTATCCGTCAAATATGGAAAAATATCTACCCAAACCTTTCAGTCTTAGGTCTTCTTTACTGAGAAATTTTAAATTTAAATGAGTAAAAATGGAATAACAGTATTAATTATGGTTTTAAAGTGGCTATCTTTTTAGACCGGTTAGATATTTGTTGAGAATTAATTGTTTATTATGTTTGATATGTAAAAAATGTAAAAGTATTGCTTGAGCAAATTTTTGAAGAAAAAAGGGGTTTGTGTCTCGCTGATTTGTTCATCGAAATGGTAACTCACTTGGTTAATTTATTCAATTTCCTACTAATTAAAATTTACTCTTAATCATGAAAGACGTGATCTTAATAACTTTATTATTTTTTTAACAATATAAAGGTTCAGTATATATTTCAAACAATTATTCATTAATTGCGAATAAGTAATAAACTTAATGTTTAAAATTCAGAGTTATCGACAATAGAATGATAAAATCATTTATTGAAATTCTTTCAGAAAAAACTACTTTCACTGGGAAAGTTTTTACAAAAACTCCACATTTGCATCATCAATTTTTCATCTTTCGTCAGTTTCATTTATTTCGTTATTTAAAGATTTTGATTGACTAAAAAACGATACTAGATTTGCAAAATTTTCAGTTCGTCTAACAACTATATTAAGTAGCCAATTAAAATACAGAATCGTGTTGAATTACGTATTGTGATGACTAGAAAACGGCGACTCAGTCGCTTCACAATCCAAAAACTCGTGTAACCTGGGTAAGTAACCTTTC